TCTCTCTCTCTCTCCCTGACTCTCTCTCTCTCTCCCTCTCTCTATGCCTCTGTCTTTCTCTCTCTCTCTCTCTCTCTCTATGGATTTTTCTCTCTCTCTTTCTCTCTGTCTCTCTCCCTTTCTATTGGCAGATGGCTGCAGAGGAAGGTAGAGAGACACTTGGAGAGGGAGGGAGGGATGGAGAGAGAGAGAGAGAGAGATTGGAAAAGACTGGGCTCTCCCAGGAGAGAGAGGAAGGTAAAGAGACACTTGCAGTGAGTTCATGCATGATGACATCACTGAGGTTGTAATTAAAGGGTCAGTTCATCAAAAACATGTTGTTGTGTTTTACTTGATAAAGACTCTGGAGCCTGAACACATCAGAGGACACTTGTGGTCTTCTTTTGGTCCAGTGAACCTGAAGTGGTCGAGACAAACCTGGACCAGCTCTAACTTCACCATGGAGGAAGTTTGAATCCCCGACGTAGAGAGCGAGTCAGCCTCCAGAACTGAACCCGAGATGATTCCCCAGGGGAGGAGCTTGATGCTGAGAGCTCTGGCTCCTCCTCTACTTTTAGAGACTTTAGGGACAACAGACTGAATTCTGGGAGCTCAGGGCTCTAGTGGTTATCCTCCTCGGTCTGCGTTATCAGCGGCTTTCCACGAACCACTGAACCCTGACTTTTGTCTGTGATGTGAATGATCACAGTTCACTCCCAGGTCACATGACTCTGCGGAAGTTTTAATTGGCTCCGAGTGAACGTGCTCATTTCTGACACTGCATTTTTTTCCTGCCAATGTAATGACGCACATTGAACTCCTGGGGGCGTCGGTGTGTAAATATCCATGATCCTTTGTGTTCTTATTGATTTTCACGTCTTGGGAACAACCGCAAGACGTCGAGGTGACAGAGCGTCTTAGGGTTCAGGTTGTTAAAGTCTTTTCCATCTCCATTATTAATAAAGGGTTATTGCAAACATTTGATAGCTGTTGTCTGCAGGAGCTTAAACAAACCAGGTTTTATGTACAAATGAGGGAAACGTGACTGAGGACAGAAAGAGAACATGTATGATTACGTGTTTGCTGAAGGGATAAGAAGAGATTTGAAAAGGTGTTGGGTCCATGTATGGACTCAGACTTTGTCAGCAGATTTCCAGTGAACTTGGTGAAAGGATGTTTTATGGTCGTCCTTGTTCAATGTACGTTTTTGATGTTTGTTCCTATAACAGCCCCGCTGACGACGCTTCTGATGCTAACGTTAGCTAAGTAGCCATAGTGAAAACGTACACATGGCACCTTTAATTGTATTAATTATCTGAAAAGATTCAGAGTTGAAGTCATGCTTCAAATGAGAACTTCACTCGTGACTAACAGAGAATTAATTCCTACGTGAGTAAATTAAATGAATTTGCTTTCGAGGAGACTCACTCCACTGAGAGAGGGCGCCCTCTGCAGGTGAGCAGTGAGCTCTGCAGCCAGGAGTCAGACTGTTGGGCGGTGTCTCCCTCTGCTGGTGATAAACACTCAGTGCAACAACACTGATAAACAAGGTGGATGGACGGAACTCTAAATTATTCAGTTACACTTGAGATCAGCTGCAGTTCATGTGATGTCACAACGTGACGGTATCTGATAACGACACGTTTAAAGTGTGAGATTGGTGATTTCAGGTCATTGTACTTTTTATTTATCTGAAGGTTTATTTAATTCAAATCTGTTTTATTTTTCTATTTATGTGTATTTAGTTCGTGTGGGCGGAAGGATCTGCAGCCACAGGCTCCGCAGCAGCAGGCGCCGCGCCGCCGCTCAACGGTGCGTAAAAAACCTTCCGCCGCGGCGGTTAGACCCGGCGCGGTGACGCTCTCCCGTCCTCCGGAGGAAACTTCGTCGGATTAAAATTCGGTGAACTTCCGACTCGTCTCCGCTGCTGGTGTTTGTTCTGTCAAATAAACCGAAGCGACGTTTAAAACGCGGCGGGCAGCGACGACCGGAGCTGCAGCGCCACGGCCGGAGCTGCGGCGGCGGAGGGAACAGCAGCAGAAAAGAAAAAGCTCCAGCGGCTCCTGGTGACATTTTCTATCCGGACAACCGCGACCGAAACTCGGTGGATCTGAGCGCGGAGATGCCGGGGATGATGGATAAAGGCTCCGAGTACTTAGGGAAAGGTCGATCCAACGGAACCAAGAGTCCGTCCAACGCGTCCAACGGACATTTCTCTGAGGAGAGCGGCAGCGACGACGAGCACGGTGAGGGAGCCTCGAACATGCGCCTGTGGCTCCCACCGCTGCTCCGCAACATTCACATTAATGACACAACCATCACACTCGTCATGCTAACAACACATCTGTGTGTGTTTCCAGATGTGGGGATGCGGGTCGGAGCGGACTATCAGGCCAACATCCCCGAGTTCGAGCCCGGTGAGTGTGTGCGGTGGGACGGACGGTGGTAGCCTCGGTCACAGTGAGGGAGGTTCGAAACTCAGCAACACTGAGGAACACATTTGATTCAATCAGTCAGAAACACCAGCCTCCACTGGGACATGGTTGATCTGTAGCATTATTATTGGAAGAGTCCTGTTCGCTCCTCATGATCCACATCAATCACAACAGAGGGACTCTGTACAAGTTCCAGATCTGTGTATTAATATATGGAAACATACATTACTACTGTATTGTCTGTGTGTAGACATATCAAAGCTGCAGCTTATTCATATTGTCATATTATTTCATCTGTCTATGAAATCAGCAAAATTACCCACAATCCCCGGGGACATATTCTCATCTTAAGGAAATAAAAAATTTAGACGCATTTCAGAATCTGGTGTCAACAAATGTTTGTCTTTGCTGAAAAGAGAATGGAATGAATAATAAAAACAGCTGCTGAAAAACCTTCTATCAGTTCATTCCACAGATTCACTCTGTTCAGCAGAATATCAACGATAATCTTTTTTTAAATAACTTGTGAGCAGCGTTAAATGATATATAAATGATTTGATCTGACATTGACTCTCTCATTGTTCTATTGATAAAAATTAAATCAAACTAATGTCAGACATT